CGCGAGTTTAGTGTAGACTACGGTCCAGTACAGTGCAGTAGCAGAGCGGGATGGACGCGGGCGAAGCTCGGCAGGGGGGGAGGGAACTAGCCGGGACGGAGAGGACGGGTCGAGACGGAGGAGGGGGAGGGCAACGGTGCCTTTAAGTTCGAAATGCTGTGCCGTGCAACGAGAGGTGTTGAAGGGGAGGGGGGAGGGAATGCCGGAAGGGAGAGGAATAAGAAAGATATGCTTGTTGTGGTGGGTGTATGTAATCTATGTACGTATGTATGTATTGTGTGTTGTGTGTTTGGCTTGGATTGTGTGCGTGTACGTGGTGCGTGTGTGTGAGTGGTGTCTTCTGGTGCAAAAAGGTTGATGTTTGGTTGGTTCCGTCTGATGATATTAGAAACGACTTAAGTCGAGGTAACGTGCGCACGCAGAAAAGGCGAATAAAAAATTGCTACTTGAGACGACAGGTTGGTTCACCGCACAATTGGCTGGCTCTCACACTCTTCCCCTTTTTCGCCCACTCGTAGGTTAGTATCAGGAAAAGGAGGACCAAATTTTTAAGCGGAAATATGCAGTACGGAGCATCTCGCAGGAGAGAGAAAAAAAAACCGAGGAAAAAAAAAGGGACGAAACAGAACGGCCCTCGAGCAAGCGTCTCCTCCAATATGATGCTGTCATTCAAAACGGGGGGCCAGATGGATAATGGAGAACGGGGACCGTGGGATGGCTGCAAAGCGGGACGAGAGGGAACGGAGGAGACAAAATAATCTCAGGAGCAAGCACTAATACCACAACCTGTGACTTTGCGGGACGGGATTGTCAGCCACGGCCATGCAACAGCAATGCGCCAGAAGATGGCCGGGTGGAGCTTTATGCACCTCCTTCTTTCTCTTTGACATTGGGATATTGCACACTCGAACTGCCTACCTCCCATTCTCTTCCAATGTCTCGAATGGGGGGCTAAAACTGTGAGTGAGCTGCGCAATAAGACTGTTTGTTTGTCTGTCTGGCTTCAGGTACAGTACGAGTCGAGCGAGGTCGTGTCGACTCTGTTTACACTTTACATAGCTGTACCTATGTTCCCTACCTCAGCTCGGGATAGCTCTCCCACAACCTCCCCTCTACACTAACCAAGACCCCAAAAGTAACCTCTCCAGGAAATGAGAGACGCAGGGGAATGACGGTCATATTTTGCGCTTCCACACCGCCGGTACCAATGACGATGAAGGTTTTCAACCGGACACGCCAATTTGCCTCCTCGCCTCTTTGCCCTCTGGTCTCACCTATCCGTACCGCCGTAGCGGAACTCTTTTCACGGAGACTCGACTCCAAAACTCGTGGCCGCCAGGACAGGGAAGGAGCAACCTGAGAGCAGGAGGGGAGGAGCAAGCTGCGGCTGCGGTGGTCCCTACTCCCTCCCCCCCCCCCCCCCCCCCCCAGTGAGAAAGAGCACCAAAACAGGTCGTACCTCCTGCTAATAAATTTACAGGGCTCGTGCTCCTTCGAAACCCCACATCGCTGCAGCAGCATCTCTCCCCCGGCCCACTCCTTGGCGTCCAGCCCACGCAAACTCACCAAGGCATTTCCCTTCCTCGACCAGCATCCACCGCCAACTGATCACGGGGCCGGCCACGCTGATCGACGAACAGCCGTGAATCAACGGGTGGAACGTGTTGTGTCAGGCGCCCAGAGCGCTGACTACCCGACCATGGCCTACCTTCGCCGTACACTACGAATATCCGAAGAGTACACTGCAACACCTTGGGAAGGGGAGTTGGGGCCAAGGGCCAAGGCCCATGGATGACGGATCGCAAACCCCGTCCGTCTCTTGCCCTTGTCGTTACTTTTCTCCGGCTATTGGCTTTCCATCGAATCCCACAGTGACACAGACAACAGAGACATTGATGCCATTTTCGACAAACGAATGCAAGGTACGCACACGTCTGCCTCTCATACCCTTACTCGGACTCCGTACCTTACCTAGCACTCTCAACTGGCAGAGCGAGCCACTCCCTACCCAGGCCAGTTACAACAATGTCTCTCTCCAGTTCCGGAACACCTCTCATGCCGAACCAGGTCTCTCTCAACACATGCCTGGTTGATTGATTGCCTTCGCGTCCGGTGTCACCCACAGACTCCAACGTGGGGGACAAAAAGAGAGAGGCCGACAAAGAAAGGCCCCCATCATGGCCGGCTCACCATACCCTTATTCCCGGTCTTGCATTCGCACTTCCCGGCCGGCATCTCCGTCCTGGCTCCTCAATACCGCTGTGTCACCCGGCCCGGACAGGGAGACGGCAACCAGTTCTCAAGGCCGTGTCACTTCAAATCTTGTCTCACAACCAGCCTCGATTTCGGGTGACACACCCATCATGTCGGGATCAGACTGCGAAATGAACTATGCATCCTAAACACCACGGCCGTCGACGGGAGCACGAGCTTTCTCTCCTGTCGTTGCCCTCTCATCCCAAGCCGCCGGCTAGCGCCAGCGGCGCGAGGTGTCCATCCCATGGATCCCGCCCTGTTCCCGCTCAGGGGCCTCCCATGATGAGCTTCCCAGATGCGCGCCTTCTTGTAGGCCAGAACGCCGCCTTTCAACCTAAAAAGGGGGCCGACACACGCGCGCCGGCACGCTCCCACTGGCGGGTTCGGCCTCGGCCTCGGGCTTGCCCTTTTGACTTTCTATTCTCCCTGCATCCTGCATGCGGGGTCCTGGAGAGACGATCGGCTGCGCGTTCTAGAAGTCTTCCGGGATCTGTTCTGCAACGAATCTCGTATGCTTTCTTTTGCCGACTCGGCGACGTGTGCAGTCCATCCCGGTAGTCTTTTTATCTAATGCGACGGACCCTGGGTGATTTTAAAAAAGAGATCGGCGGTTGAGACACAGACAGTGCGCTCACCCCAACTATCAGCCCTCTCGTTTTCACCAAAAATAAAACAGAAACAGAGCCAAAGCCAGCGCCTACACGTTGAAGCTAACACGCATTCGGCCCAAGATCCAGAGCCGACTGACTATTGATCGAGCAAAATTTCCGGTGTCAATCACAACCAAAGACCCACTCAGCCAAACAGATCTGCTCTTCAACTCGCTGCAGCAACCCTCGACTTAATCAACTCTGCGCGGACAGCGGGCCGAATGCCTCGCATGTCCCCGCCTACAATGAACACTTGCCAGCACTCCAACGCCTCAACCGCCAGAGTAGGTCGCATCAAGGTTTGTTGGGCATCAGCTGTTGACTGCAACACAACTGCGACATACTAATCAATATACCCTCCAAGTCGGCTAGTACTATGAGGCCTAGCATTGAACTACTTCTTGAGCTTCAGAACAACAAACAGCCGACAGAGGATGATACCTGTTGGTCAGACTTTCCAACAGATCTACAGTTGACTCGGTCATGGCATAAGGTTACCCACATAGTCACCGTTCACTATATTCCATCGTTTGGTCAACCTTTTCGTTGTAATTCTCGCTTTTGGACGTACCAATCCCCGTCTTGGACTCGGCAATCTCGCAATGGCCGCTGTTCTCATCCCAGCCGCGCCTTGAGGATGTGTGCGCGGAATGCATACTGGATATACCCGAAGCAGGGGGGTCGGCTCAACCTTACGTATGGCACTTCTGACTTGCGTTGATGATGTGCAGCGGCTCACTAGCCAAGTCTTGCTCCATAAAGAACGAGTAATGGGCAGTTCGGTTGTGCTACGATGAGGCTACCGGGCTATTACAATTCCGTTCTTCCCCTAGAAATCCGCGGTAATCTTGACTGTTTTCAGACCAAACGATTTAGGTTAATGACTGCTGCTTCTATAAGTATGCAAGTGCCGCCGCGATGACGTGTTCACACACACGCGCGTGCGAAAACGAGGCTGTCGTCTGAGTTGAAACTTGCGGCGCGCCCAAGTTCAAAAAGTAAACAGCCGGTATCCCACAATTTGGGACAATGCGGTTGCGAGGTTTATCTTGAGTCTCTTGCAAGATCAAACCTCTTCGGAAAATTGTCAGTCGAATGGAAGAGATGGAAATCTATGCGGACCAGAAAGGGTCTTAGGGCATAATCAGTTCTCTACTAGGTATTGCGACAACTTCGTCTGTAGGGATATTGTTCTTATCGAGTACGCAAGTTCCACTTCCAACTTTCAGCGACTCAATTCCGCAGTTCGGCCAGGGCGAGCTTGACTCGGCAACCTGTCCCCTCCCTCTGCAAAGCACAGGGAAAAAGTACCTGTTAGCGAGATGAAGTTGGAACATACATCATTGAGAGAGGAGAGGAACCTCTCGCCTTCCAGATCGGGAAGGTGACGCTACGGGAAGAGCCTCACGGAGAACTGGAGGCCAATCGCTTTGGATCCAGAAAGGACCTCCTCCACTGCGATGAAAAAAGGCCTCCACCGCGATTTTTTTAATCTAGCTGGTGGGCATCACACCGCTCTCACCGGGGCTGGGGCCTGGGCCTGGGCCTGGATAGATGAGAGACCGCGATTCAACGAGTTGCACGACATGTCATTTCCACCTGGCTTTACCTCTTTGAGTTGTCCAAGTTGGGTTTTGGTACTTTTTTGACTCAGACTGTGAAAGACGGGAAGGGGAAACAAGTTGCAAGACAAGAAACAAGCTTCCCAGGAACACGGGACGACATCCCAAATTGAAAAGTTACACGGAGTGCTTCTCAGCCACTCGTCAGCTTTGATATTGCCATAGGCCCAGACGCGCATCCCGCTCTGGTCCTGCGAGGCAATGACGCTCCCTACTCCAAAGAGGATATGGGCCAAGACAAGGCGGGCAAGCCCTCATCTATCTGGGACCCCACGATCCCGACGCCTCGATGCATGAAGAGATCTGATCTAAGACAAGGGGGGGGGAGCAGGCGGCTTGAAACAGTACGACCCGATCTCTCGATAATCACCATGTCCAGCCGTAACACCATAATCTTCTTTTTTATCATTCCTCTCTGATAACTTCCGAAACAACGCACACAGCGCAACAATGCTTGCATCTAAGAATCAGATCACCTCTGCATGCTGCCAATGATCTCCCTCTGCGCCGCGCGGTCCCTCGCCCCCTCGCTAAGGCTGCCGATGCTCCGCAGGTCGCCGACGACGTCCTTGGCCTTGCCAAAGTAGACCTCCTGCAGCAGGTTGCGCATCTTGAGTTCCATATCCTCAACCAGGCGGCCGACGTTGGCAATGTGGCTCTCGTCGCCATCAACCGGCAGCTCCTGCTCTACCTGTCTCGTCATGTTGCCGCTCAGGTCCATGTCGCCCAAAGAGGCTGCCGAAGTCGACAGGGAGAGAATCACGGTCGAGGTAAGCTTGTACTGTGTGGTGCGGCCACGCTCGATGGCCTCGAAGACGTGGATCGAGTCCCAGACACCCTCGGCACTGCCACCAGGTGTCGCGGCTGTTGCATTGTCAGCGCTTTTTCACGTAGTGTCTTCATGGCCGGGCCCAGCAGGGCAGAGACGTACACTTCTTGAGCAGAACAACGCCGGCAAATCCATCGTCCAGGTTCCAGAAGTAGACACTGCTCACACCGCCCTCGTAGTAGAGATCCCGGTAGACGTCAAACGCCTCGTTGGCCTTGATCTCCATCTTGCGGACACGCTCGCTAGGGATAGCACCCTCGCCAGCACCCTCGCTGCCACCGGCACCGACACCACCGACGCCGCTCTCATCCAGAGGCGGGTCGAATTGGTTGCTCCATGGCGAGCGGTAGCTGTCGCCGTCACGGTTGTAGTCGCAAAGAAGGTAGTCGCGGCCCGTCTGCTTGCACCGCTTGACGGTCAGGGGCTGATCTACGGATGAGAGTAGGTCTTCGGTCAGATCTGGGGCGAGGGAGATGATGGCATTGAGGTGGTCGGTCGTGTGTTTCGGGTTCAGACGGCGGAGGAGGTCGCTGGAGGCGGGCTCGGGTTAGTGACATGGGAGACGATGGGTTGGGGGCCGGTGCTTACAGCGCCGAGTCGAAAGGGTCGACGGCGGCCATTGTGGCGCTGTGTGTGTTTATGTCTGGATCGGTGAGGCGAGAGTTTTCAGAAGCTTCGGCGGTGATGGGATGCGTTGTCGATGGATTGGATGTTCGAGGGGTGGGAGTGTTGGCGGAACGGACCCGGCGGGGTAGGGCGGTCATCAGCAGCCCCTGGGGAAGAACCCCACCACTCAATGTGAGCTCTCAAAGCACCGACCAGTTCCTTAGGGTAGTTAGTGGTGAGGTACGGAGCTACCATCGAGCGGCACGTCATGGCAGGACCAAGCAAGTCAGAGAGCTCAACACAGCTTGCCAGAGCAAACCGTACCGCAAAGCATGCATGTTGTTCGTGGCACCTCGCATCGTGAGTTTTACAATATTTAAAGCGTCCTTTGTATTCATTCGTCCCCAAACAAAAAGCGCTCGTCGATATTCGACTTAGGAAAGAAACATAGACCAAACCATGTAAGCTCTAGGAAACTGCTCGTAGACTCTGTCTCCGAACTGCCATTCTGCTGGCCTTGCGCTCCTTTTCGTCCCCTTTTTTGGACTCAACCTCCTCACTAGATCTACTACCTTAACATGTTCTTTCCAACCTCACTATTGCGAAAAATCCGTATTCGCCAACGCCTCGCGAAGATAAACAGAGGCCCAACCACACCAAAGTAACCTGTCTCGCACCAGTCGCTCTCTTTCCCGCGCCCCCCTATGCGTGGCTCCCTTCAAACCAGCCTTTCTCATGACTCGAAAGGCTGTCCTGGTCATGTTCGAATCGTAACAGCTAAGAGTACTGCAGGGCCCATTGGAGAATGCCGGTTACGCAGTGCTTGCTGGAATAAATATAGCGAGAAGTAAAGTTGGGAACCCCACAGTCGCGTCCAAAAAGAAAATGTTGCCCTCGGTCAGGGCTCAAGAGTTGCCGGGCCGTTCGTAGCCACTTGTTCAGCTGATTTCAACACTGCAAACGACGCAGAGCAATGGCTCCGTCCACACCTTGTCGCCTTCAGTGACGTTCTCGCGAAGGTCCCTGATCTCAATCTTCGGGGGGTTCATGTCCATCAAAATCTTCGCCTCAAAGAGCCCTTCGTAGGCCTTCGTGTCTGATGCCGCAACTCTCTTCTTCCCGGATCTAGCCTTTCGGCACGCCAAAGGGGCTTCGAGCGCAGAAGGCGTGGCGGGAGTCGTGGGCTGTTGCGAGACACGCTCGTCCTGAATGGCAGGGGTACCCTCGGTGACTGACTGGCCGTTCGGCTCTTCGGGAGCGTCGCTAGGCTTTGCATCGATTGTTTGCTTGACTTCGGCACCGCTTTCCGTGGGGCTCAGGGGAATGTTGACGCCATCTTCCATCTTCTTCTCCTCCTTCACTTCTTTCTCGATGTCGCTCTCCGCAACGGAAGCAGTTCCTTCGGTCGGGGGCTTGGCGGCGAAGTGGGGCTTGTCCCTTCCAAGTCGTTCGTACGTTCGCGTCAGGGCATCCTCCCGAAGGCAATGCTCGTGCAGCCACTTGCCGCACTCCTTGTTGGAGCATCCGATAAGGGTCTTGTCCGGGTTCGCAGGTTGTCGGCATTTGCAGGTACGTTCAACGGACTGCGCAAAGTTAGTTTTGCTGTGATCAGCGCAACGATGCGATCAGATACCTACAGAAAGTTGTTGGGTTCGACAGTCAAAGGCCTGGCGCCAGTAAAGGGCCTCCTGTATTTCGTCATCGTTTTCCTCTATCCATTGCTTGACATTCGCAGGGAGCGTCACGCTGACAACGTTGATGATGTCCACTACTTCAAATCAGCACCCACACCACGGCTTCATCCCAATGCATGCGACTTACTGTGATTGGAGGCAATCAACTCGTTGTGACCGTGGTACGGCTGGCGACCACCGGTATACTTCTTTCCCTCCATGGTTCCTTCAGGAAGCTCCTCCGGCCAGTACATCCAGTAAATTCGTGCATAGACGTGGTGCTCGTCGCTGGCGCGAATCTCCAAAATACGTGCCACCCAGTCATCCTCGGACTTTGATCTCTTGAAAGCCTTTTCGGCATCGCCGTCAGCAGATCCATCTACCGCAGCCTTCTGGCGCTGGACAGTTTGATCGTTTGCGACGTAGATGAAACCCTCGCTGAAGTACTTTGTCCCATTGACTGCGCCCGTCAGTGTGAGCGCACGACCATCACAGGGAGCAAACGGTGGAAACTTACGAACAAAGCTGTTGTACCTGGTCATTTCCAACCACTTCTTCTGAGGAACAACGTTGTACTCCAGGTCCAGAACGTCATTAGCGCTCTTGCCATTGAAGTCGCCGGACGGGGAGAAGGGAGAGAGTTGCTTCGAGCTCTTCTTGGCGTCATCCTCGTCTGGCTCCTGCTTCCTTCTCTTTTTGGATTTCTTTTGTGCCTTGGTGTCGGGTTCGGCGTAGGTGATGCTGAAGGGGCACTCGGCCTTGTTTTCCTCGACCTCGGCGCGAGGACGTTTGCGCGCGGAGGACGACATGGTGCAGGTCCGAGGTCGCAAACCGGACTTGGGTTCGGGTATCGCGCAGAGATGATGAGCGGCGTCGGATAGCGTGGTTCGAAGGTGTTTGAAACGATTGAAACGGTGATAGATGGTCGATGAGTTGTCGCGACGGAAGGGAAGGAGGACGGGGTGGCTGGAAGAAAATGGGTCGCCTGTTGACCGGGGTAGATGAGGCCGAGTGGCAAGCGCGCCGTCCCGGTCGAGCTTGCGAAGACACTATGACAAGTGTACGATGGCTCTGGCAGGCCTGGATATGATACAGGCCAGGTATCAACGACCAATGATGGCCACGATGCGCAAAGTTGGAAAAATCGCAGGTCGAGGACAGGAGCTGGCGATCCGGGTCGAGGAACGGCGCGTCGAGTAGGTAATCACAGCCACCTGAGATTTTCTGAAGGCGCATCACGTGATCTCTTCGGAGTTAGCAGCACTACCTCACGTAAGCACATACAATTGCAACATGACATCCGCACCTGCCACGGGAGCCATTGACAATTCTCCGCTGAATGCGCCGGCAAAAGTCAATGCACCTTCTGGTATTATTTCTCTTACACTTGATTCGCTGTGAGGGCGCAAACAATACAGCGCCGCCAACGACAAGGCGACACCATCAAAGGTCATGAAACGCTGTGTTGAATCATATCTACCCTAGGCGTATGCACTTTTCTGAACCGCAAGCCAGAAACCGAGTGAAGGATAACAAACATGGCTGGCAGCCCTCATAACGCCGTGCTATGCAATGCGCCCGTATGCTACCGTCTGGTCCGATCATGCTCATCTTCTTCTTCATCATCGTATGCGCTGAGAATGGGCCGGTCCTCGCTCTCAGTCTCACTTTCAACTCCTCTGTGCTGGCTCTCAAACCCCTCGATCGTCTCCGCAAGCCTTTCGCCCTCACGCTTGCCTCTCTCAACGTTGACGCTCCAGATGAGGGGCGCCGGAATCGCTACCAGAGCCGCCAAAAACCAGAACGCTGGTCGGATATCTCCTGATCCATCGATGATGGCTCCCACGATCGCCGGCCCAAACACACTCGAGCCCTTGTCCGTGATGGCGTATAAAGCATAGAAAGCCGCTTCGGAACCGGGAGGAATAAGCTCGCCGTAGACTGATCTGCAAAAGCTCGACACGCCTGCTAGCACAAGCCCATACACCGCGGCCAAGGGATACATCTCCCAAGGCTGTTGCAGTCCGCCCACGCCCCAGTTCCGCACAAACGGAATGTAGCCGAGAAGTCCGTAAATCGGAATGAGCTCGAAGAGGCCGATGCAGACCAAAATCGTCTGGTGGGGCTTGAGATTGAGCTTGCGCGAGATGAAGGCCCAACTAAATGCTCCGATGACCCCGAACGTAGTGGATATAACATTGATCATCCCCAATGCCCAAGGCTTCATGTGAAGCTGGGTCTTGGCGAAGAGAATCGCTGTGGATGACGTCGTTGCCACGGCATCTGAGAGGAAGAACCAGGCAACAATGAACAGCATGATGTCCCTGAGGCGTCGAGCAAGCTGAACTGTCCTGAAGAGAGAGCTCCAGGCGTTCTTGGTGTAGCTCAACCAAGCACGAGCGCCCTTACCCGAGCCGGAGTCGATGGGCATTGGTGGGCCCGGTCTCGGGCGCAGCCACATGGCGGCCGGAATAGTAAAGATTGTCCTGTTCGTTGAAAGTCAGCTCCGGTTATACACAACATATGATCAGGGCCAACAATGCGGACGATAAAGACGACAGAGACGAGGTGTTACATACCACCAGGCACCAACAACAAAAAGCACAACCCTTTGCGACCATGTCGAGTTCTGCATCGCAATTAAAATGACAATAGCGACGCATTGCACAAACAATCCGGCAATGTAACCGGTTCCGATGCCCTTGGAAGATATCTGGGTTGAAAGGTGAAGCTCCACCGAGGTGATTTCCTCATGAGTAGCTTTCCTTACTAGAGGATGACCGTGATGGGCATTCTCTCCAAGCAACGCGGTGGTGGAGTCTTCTACATCGCCAACAGCCGAATCTTCATCGATGGGAGTGCCATCTAAAGGCTGCGACTCCATGTCCGAGTTACCGAGATCTGGTGTGTGCACCGTCGCGGACGCCAAAACCTCGGGATGGTATCGCACGAGAAGAGGGAGGAATGAGTTCAGAAGTACGAATGATGCGCCAAAAGATGCGTTTGAAATGATGGCCAGCAACGCGCCGAGTACGTATGTGCTCTTGTTGACGAAGATGTATGCCATAACTGAGAAGCTACCGACCCACGCGAAGGTGAGCAAGAGCTTCTTCCTCGAGTCGCCATGGTCGGCAGCGCTGCTGATACTCACGACCAGGAGAGCCTGGATCAAGACGCTGATTGAGAAGGTGTACATGGCGAAGCTCGCGGTGTTGATTTCCATCCCGAGCACATAGACGATACATTGTCCATCGGCCTTGTTCTTGGAATCGCTCGTGCCACAAGGGGTCGTTCGGTCCGACAATAGGACGCCATTTTCGCGAGCGAGTGTCTCGAGGAGAATCGGGATGAATGAGCCTGTGAGTCAGGTCTTGTCAGCACCAGCAACGTCAGAGTCAGGTGTTGGATGGGCGCATTGATGTAGACATGTTTCCGTGTCTTCCGTCGGGGAAGCGACAGTGTTATTACGAGCTGGTTGAACATACCGATGGCTGAGAAATGTCAGTTCGTGAACATGGTCAGATGCAAGGCGGGGAAGATAGCTATTGCTTACCACAAATAACATAGGTTTCGGCAGCAAAGGCGTAGGCGTACCAGCCGTTTAGCTCCTTCTGGCTGGTGGGACGGGTATCTTCACCCTGATATCGGCCTTGGCCGTGGAAGAAGCCATCACTGCTGCTTCCAGGACTCATCCTGTCGTAGTCTGAGTCGCTGTCGGAACGTTCGTCGTCAGCCTCAAAGTCGGAGGTGAAGGAGCGAAAGGAGCGTTTGGACAAGGTCGAGAGGCGCGACCATAACCTTGGTGCAGGCGGCGGGCGAGCGTGTTCCTCATGCCTGGGAGCCATGGGTGACAAGCAATCAAGCAGCACAGCACAGCACTGACACGGGCGGCTAGGCTTAACTTTACTGGATGGAGCAGCTGACTTGGCGGGCTGTCTCACTCCGGTCGCAGCACGCAACCTCCAGGGCTGAACTTCCGTCCGAGTTTAGGCTGCAGAGGCAACCAGGAACAGCCAAATCTCCAGGTTCCCGCGCCAGGTACCTTGCCAAGGTGGGCAGACAGCGGAATGCACGGCGAGCAATGCGGATAGATTGGGGGTTGGGGTTGGCGAATGCACGTTGGGCTAGGTACCTAGCACTGGGGGCGTCGCAACAGTGCTAGGCACCACCACTTTGAGCTTGACCGATGGACTGCTGTCCTGCTGAGAGGTGTCGAGGGGGGCGCCTTCGCTGCTGTGGGCGGACCACTCGGCGTATTTCCAGTAGCTGCACGGCACCTCACCGGCCAAGTTCTGACTGGAGGCTGCCGTCGGAGGGAAGCGAGTGCTGCTGAAGATGTTCCAATAGAAGTCGAGGACGGGCGGCAGGTCGGATGTTGTCGTTGTCTTTGTCTTCAGTGGGGTGTCTCGCAAAGGAAGCCTGCCGAAAAGGGCATGTGGACTGGACTGGTTTCGAGGAAAACCGGAGATGGGAGGGTTTGACTTTAGGAATCGTGCAACGAAGCTGACAGGTGACTGTTAGGTGACAGACCGAAGGTGCGGGTGACGACGACGCAATGAATTCCTTGCGGACAGCAACATGAGGCCACCGCGACTGCGACAATGGATATCTGGATCGAATCCTGCAAGAAGGAGGAAAAACGACAGAAGCAGAAGAAGAAAAAAAAGAGAAGGTCGGAGGACAAGTAGGTCAAGGAGTCGTTGGGCAGGTTGAAGAGACCCGACTGTGGGCCGGCGCGGTTGGTTATATGGCGGCCAAAGGAAGGAACCACACCGCGTGAGGCAAAGACCACCTCCAAGGTGACAACGTCAATGTCAATCCATGGTCTTCCCCGGAGTGGACGACCAGACTTCTCCATGCCTTCTCCGACTTTCCAGGCCTGCCGTACGAATACGCTTGCGCTGTTGCAAGTTATTAGCCCAAGCTACAACTAGGTGCTGCAGTAAGCTTGAGCCAAGGCCATCACCTCTTTCTTTCCACCTCCACAACCGTCTCTACCTTACTTACTTGTACTGTCCGTCCCATTCATCGCCTTTCCACCTTCCTCCCATCACGCCGTCCTTCCCCGAACCTAGCTGCCCCCCTGGTCGCATTGAAAACGCCTTTGCCCAATCTCCTGGACATGCGACCGCAGATATTGTTGTGCTTTCCAATGCATCATCGCCGATGAATGGTGTCCTTCATGTTTCTAGCGCCGCTGCCACGCTTCAAGCATGCGGCGCTATGAGGCAATGAGCTCCAGTCATCGTCAGAAGGTACGCGGTGCCGACAGCCATCGTGAGACGAACCGGGGGCCTCATTCGTCCGATATTCCAAGCTCAGCGTGCGTCGATGGATATGCGTTGCACTCGATTTTGGATTGGGCATTGGCCGCCGCTCGCCTGCATCTACCTGCACCACACTTTCCCATCCATCTCAACCCTGGTTTAGCACTTTGCCATTGACACCACCCTCACCGCAAGAGGGCGAACTGATGAACATTGGCCAAACTTTCATCTCCCCTCGTACAGCGTTTTCTCTCATCCCGCAAATCTTTTGTTGTATCTACGCATCAGATAGTAGCTTACCCGCTGTGAAGGCATCGAAAACCCTCTCATGATGAACAAGAAGCCCTGCACAATGAAAAAAACCTGCTCTGGCATGACCAAGGAGCGGCGAAATCGCAACTGATCAAGTAGTCGTCTCTTGGCAAAGAGCCGCTGCCGCTTTGGGAGGGGCTAGCTTCGCTGCTGATTGAGATGGACCTCTACCTGCAGTTATCTGACTCAGTGTGACTTTGCTGTTGTTCTAAAATTCTCTGATGTTGGTATGCCCACAGCACCATATTTCACTACATCGAAAACCATGCGATCCAAACTCTGCCTTGCAACCTGCCCTCTAGGCTCTGGCAACACTGCGGCAAAGTTTCGTGACGATCCGAACCGTACTGGGACTTGCGGGGGTGGACATTCTGCAAGTGCCTTCGCGATCTGCGCGCCCTCTTGGCTTCGCTGCCCACCACACTTCAACTCCCGTTGGACCCTGAAGGACGATCACCGGCATGCGAGCTGGTTGGCGTTAAGACTACTTAGCGCAAATCGCGCGCAAACCAAGAAAACTATTTTGTAATCACTCGCAGCTTGAACATGGTTTTGCCAGTCACACTACAGTCAGATCCGAAATGTATTTGTGCCATGACCTTTTCGTACAATTCCATGTCCGCTCAAAGCCACAGATGGGACCACTTTCCGGACTTCACCGCCTCAACTTTTAAAGTTACCCGGGGAAGGGTCTGTTGTCGTCAGGACCCAGAATTACCCTGGTGCCTCTCCGCAATGAGATGAAACGGGCCGACGTTGGGTCTAAACTCTGAAGCTTCCATTTCTCTGTTCAATAATGTCATCGCAGAGACAAAGCCGACATAACGAGCGCTGGCCATGTGCCAAGAAAACAGTTTCCGGTCTGTTGGATCGACTAAACTCTAGTTCGCTCGTGAAGTTGGAAGCTTGACGGTTTCAACGACGCCGACAAAGTCCGATTCTCTCGCTCTAAGACTTTCATGTTCTGCTAAGCATGACCGAATTACGTCATCAATCCGGTCTGCGGACCTGTGACAGGATCGATATGCACGGACCATGTCGTCGGCGCCGATGTTCCCCACACCCCGGATATCATCGGAACTCTCACAGCATTTGCAGGATACACGCAGGAAATCCAAAAGTTGAACGAATTATGAACATTGCAACGCATGGATGTTTTTAAACGAATCTTAAAGCTCTCTTCTAAATTGAAATAACACGTTTGAGATGCGGCTTGTTACGGCAACATACGTGGGGACCTCAAAGCGCGCCGCCGCCACACACGAACACGAAAGATGGCACAACACCACATTCCACCCGCCCCTAGGGTATTATTCCACAATAAGATGGATCAAGAACATGGCGAAGTGTCCGAGTGGTCAAGGAGTTTGACTCGAATCTCTATTGGAATCAAATGGCTTCGGCCGCGCAAGTTCGAATCTTGTCTTCGTCGACTTCTTTATTTTTGCCCTTTTTTTTCGCATCATGCGTCTGTCATGTTGTGCGGTGTTGACTTAACCGAGAGCACATACAAAGCACAGATAGAGTTCGTTCATCTGATGCTGCTTCTGTCCGTATCTTCTTTCGTTCAAAGCATATCCCTGCAGAGCGTCAAGTCGGATATACGCCAGATGCCGCAGCTCTCCGGGCACAGTTGTGTTTTAAATTGAGCCTGCCTGATTCCTCTATTGGCGCAGCTACATTCCCTGTGCACAAAATGACTTTGGATTTCTACATTGCTTGAATTGAACTTTTGTGACTGTTCTCGGTGACCTTGTAAGACGAGGCTAATACAGCTGCTGGTATCTTGACGTGTTTTTCTCTTCTCGAACACCCAATACAAACAAGTTGTGTTTGGATAGTGTTTTTTTTATCCGGGTCAAAAGAGAGCAAGAAAGACTGGGTAAACCAGAAGAGGTCCTGTGTTTCCCCTGTGCTAGAGCGACTATTTCTTGAGGATATTCATTATAAATTACTGTTGTCGTCTTCATCGTCGTCGTCGTTGTTATTATTTTCATCTTCGTCATCGTCATCGCCTCTATGACTCTTATCATTCCTCGCATGTTTGTCCCTACTGTCGTACTCGATTCATGAAGAAAGGGGGGATGTTTGCGATATTAAGGAGATGTGCTGATTAGATCTAGAGGACAAATTGTACGCGCTTTCTTGGTCACTGTTTCAGTTGCTGATGTTGAACATGATTTTCGCAACAGAAATTGCGACATTGACCCGGATTTTGCTGATTGACTCATTACAAAAGCCCGCAATTGAGAAATTTGATGCCACGGTAAGTCGAGCCAGCGGCAGGATATCATTCAAAGTTCTCAAGAGGAAACATATCTATGAAAATGGGGATATCGTGAAGGGTATGTTAACAACTTCCAACCAAAAGCCACTCATACGCACAGCACACAACAACAGTCTGGTGCCAATCCAGGCATCCCGCCACCACATTAAACATCCACATCATTCTGTCAGCCATGCATTCTTTTCGCATCATTTTCAATCTGCACCCGCTCACGCCATGCCATGAGATTTTACTTCTTGTGGAAAGGAGCAAGGATCTTGGCCTTGAGCTTGTCGGCGACGCTGACGCCAGCAGTGCCGTCGGCGCGGGCCTGGGCGGCGGCCTTCTTCTCGTGGTCGATCGACTTGTGCGCGTTGCCAGCGCCGCCGCGGCCGCCGTGGTAGTCCTGGTTCTCGGTCGAGGGGCGGTAGGCCTCCTCGGGGACGAGGTCCTTGTCGGAGCGCGGGGCGGGCGCAGAGCCTGCGTCGCCAATGTTGCCGGCACCTGTGATTTGCATACAGTCAGTCGATGAGCGGCGTTTCTCAAGAGCGCGACTTTGCGACGCAATTACAAAGGCGGTGGGGTGAGGGTCGGCTTCGTGAGCTCATCGCGCCGATGCCGCAGGGGGCTGGGGGTGACGCTGATAAGAAAACGGATGTCTGATGTACCTCCTCTGCCTGCGCTGTAGGCTCCGTGGCCCTGGGAACCCTCAGGACCGGTCCTCACGACTTCGCCATCGACGTACTGGGTGTCGTCGGGGTTGATGTTTCCAGCTCCGCCGCGTCCGTGGGATACTTCGGCCGTCATTGTGAATGGGTCTGTTGTAGAGCGATAAATGTGGTGCGATAGTTGTCTTTCGGGGGTACTTGATCTTGGCAGGTGAGTCTGCGATGCTTGGGGTGAAGAAATCTTGTCCCGAAAAGAAAGTTCGAGCGACGGGTCGATATTTTATTTTGCAGGATCACAAGCTTTGGACCAGGGGACAGGAGGAAAACAGGTACGTCAGTAATATTATATATAGATAAGGCATCTGTTCCTGGCAGCTCGTCGTCACATCATAAGATAGAGACAGACTGAGAGAAAGAGTACAAAGTACCTACATCGGATCACCTACTACTATCAGTGACTCCAGACCCCCAAGCTAAGGTTATCTCGAGGCGGCGCACGCCTGCAGATGACTGCGGGATGTCTTAGCGTCTTGGCCCCTGGCACTTTGCGAGTGGGAGGCACCGTTTCCATGTTTCTGTCCCTTCTTCATCCTTTCCATCGGGCACATCAGCCTTCAGCCAAGCATGGCATGCACACACACTCACTGGCCGCGTCCCGCGGCGGGACGGTACTTGCACATGTGCTGAGTACCACACAGACACCGACCAACGGGTCAGATGGCAGCTCAGCGAATGACAGCCGGCCCCTGCCCTGATAAACCCTGGTTTACGTACCTGAATTTCGTGAGAGCTCCGGAGACCATCCCGCATCGAACGTGTCTTGCCCAGCCCTTCGGTATTGTCGCAAGAACAGACGCAAGCTAGTACCTTCGCGAAGGATGCTGCTGCTGCCACCTTATCTCGACGCCAGCAAGCAAGCGGTGATTCGAACTCTATGGAAAGCTCTACCCTCGAACTCATCATGAGCCCGTTCGCACTTCCCATCCTTGGCGAACTTTACGCTCGGGAAAGAGGTCTGATGATCAACCTTGAAGGAAAGCAGGGATACCGCCTGTTCTCTCCAGAGCAATGTCGTCATATGAGGCATCCCAGAATTCGACATTCGCATTCTATGTCTCCAACAACACTATGTGCGATGTCTTTCCAACTTTCTGTTTCTTCACACGTCAATGGAACTCAGCACCAGCTTGACTTCCCCGTGTGGTCGGTCTCATTCGGCCAACTCACCCGCTCGCTGGGTTGTCCAGCAATGGCGAACCAGCTACAGCATTAAGAGGCGTCGAGCAACAGGCGTCGAGTAAGCACCGAGAGTGACGTTCCACTCAAGCTATCCCGTCAGCCAAGACCAACGAATGGGATCACATAGCCCGTATTTCTGATGGCCGCCCCGGCGCGCGCATGTCAGCTTGGGACATGCAACCTTCCATTGGCCACGATACAGCATGCAGAATGAGGGGTGAAAGGAGAGATCGCCATATATCATCGCCGGTCCATCGCCAAGTCGACCCCATCTCGGCAACCAGCCAAACTACACCTTCTTGTCTCTCATCAGCATGGAGATCTTAGGCACAGTCGCTTCGGTATTTGAACTCTGCAGGATCACGAAGGACTTGCTTGAGACGTTCGCCAATGCGGGGCAGGATGTCACCCAGCTCAAGTACGAGCGCAACTTGACCGAGCTGCTCTGCGTAACTTTACAGGCGCTCATTGACAAGGATCCGAATATGCAGCATCGTGCGAATGGCAGTAAAGCTTTGCTGATGAAGAGTTTCAGGGATACTATGGAGGGCATCAAATCGACGCTGAAACTCTTGGAGAAGAAGCTTAGAAAACTCAGCGTCAACGCAGACGACAATATTATCGCAAAAACGCGGCTTGGAATTTATTGGGTGCTCAATGAAGGAAATTTTAAGGACCTACTTGAAAGCCTCAGGAATCAGAGATTAATGATGAACTCTTTTGTCGGCTTGTACAATGCGTGAGTGCTTTCGAGAGACGAGTTTGAGTCTGCAACGTGCCACTCATCTAATATCACATTAGGGGCCAGACACTGGACGTGAAATCGATGTTGGGGAATATTCCACCGTCAACTCCGATGAGATCCGGAGAGATCGATCCAGGTTACGCGGAGGATCTGCTGAAAGCCGTCAAAGGCGGCCAGCTCGACAGTGTTGAAAGCGTGTTGGCCCGAAATGGCGACATCAACGTGGCCCTGGAAGGCGGAGACCGCGCAGTTCATATTGCCGCTCGCAAGGGCTCCTTGCCCATCCTCGAAAGACTTCTCACCCTCAGCGCTGATGTTCACGTTTCGAACAACGTCCGCGATACTCCCCTACATGCGGCTCTGAAAGCTGGACGGATAGAAACAGCCATGGCATTGCTGTTACGGGGCGCTAGTTGGAAGAGCCTGAACAACGATGGGTTCAGCCCGTTGCACCTCGCGGTCTTACACTCAACAAGCCCCGTCGTTCACTACTTACTGGACAGAGGAGCTGACACGGGCCTGCTGGACCTTAAAAGCCGAACACCGCTCAAACTAGCCTGGCACCCTCTGGGGAAGGACGGCCAGAAGGGCACGGTTGACATTGATATCATGCGGGCCTTGGTAGGTCACGGCGCCAGCCCGACGCCGACGGACGAGAGAGGAAGAACGCTGGTTCACCTTGCCGTCAAGGAGAAGCGACCGGACTTTGTAAGGCTGCTCGCTTCCAAGTCTGCTGATATGAACGCCAAGACCAACGACAAGAGTACGCCACTGCACGTCAGCATAACCTCGGACGATCTGCCCATGACCCGTCTATTGCTCGATCTCGGGGCAAACCCCAACGAGAAGACGGTACATGGCGGTTCACCCCTCATGTTTGCCGCTCGAGGGGGCTCGTTGCCAATGATGCGCCTGCTACTCGATCGCGGCGCCCAGAAATTCTACAAAACGCCCCAAGAGACCAACGCCTTCCTATGGGCCTGCTATGGCGGGCATATCACATGCGCCAGCTTCTTGCTCGGTTGTGGGTATGGGCCGTCCAAAAGGGCAGCCGCGGGCTTCACAGCACTCCACTACGCAGCTGCAAGGGGACACATGGAAGTGGTGAGGTGGTTGTTAGAGCTGGGGGTCAACAAGAGTATCAAATCAAAAAACGTAAGGGTCCCGTTCAAGGCCAGCGGGACGGCAGCAGAGGTTGCCAGAGCACACGGGCATAGCAAGGTTGCCGAGGTCATCGAGACCTTCGTGGACGAGCAGACGTACTAGTCGTTTCATCAACAAGCCCGCTGGTGTAAACAGGCAGGTTATCTCGAAGGATCAATATAGCAGATGCAGCTTGTCTGATACCAGCTTTTATTGGCTAATTACTCTCTACGGTCGAGCAAATATTTGCTTTAAATTGTCATTGGTACGAAAGTCGTGCCATGATGTAAATGGCGATCATTTATTAACATGGATTGCCGCAGATCTCATAACTGTGTGAAGTGAGTGTCGGCATCACCACAGATGCCTTACAAGACGTGCTGACAAAAGCTACGGTTGACCTGAATATACGTGTCCATAGATAGGTTCAACCGTTGTATGTCGACTTTTGACAACCGACTAATCGTCTACTCTTTAGTCTTGAGTGCTTTCAAATGCGGGTTTCCGAGTAAAGACGCGGCCTTATTGGATAATTGTGAAGTTGTAGGTTTCGCAAAACTGCGACGGGGAAGGTCAGAATACTACCTTACCGCAGACATTAGAACAGGGTTAACACCAGTGGTCCCAACGAGCATAGTCTTCATGCTGGATTACTTTAACATGAGAGGGAAAGAAGAAGAGTATCTGTATATACATATGCCGAGAACTTGCCGTTATTCAGAATAAAAAAAACAGACATGAAAGGGAAAAAAAAACAATGGGCGGCCACCGGAGATATGTAGAGCCACCTAAGAACTCGAATCCTCGAGCTGTGCCGAAACCAGACATACAATCCACCGCTAGGCTATCTTGCGACGGTGGTCGCACCCATTGTTGCGGAATCTGGAAGGTGAGGTTGACTGTGAGGGAAGGAGCACTTACTCCAGCGGGCCTGTGTCGCGACTTTGACGTTATAATACCGCAGTTGCTCCTTCCACGAGACGTCACAACTGAATTGCGCCAGTATACAGCACAATTTAGGCATATAGCTAGCAAACTGCTGAATTTACGGATTCTCACTTATCTATGTTTTCCTCTATGTGAAGAGTATCCTTGCCCTTAGGGTCCTCATCGTACGAAATTCTCATAGCAATACCCGTCACTATCTATGATAAGTCTTGCTGCCTCTGTCCCGGTCCTGCTGCTTCTCAAATACCTCTTCTCACCTGACCCCACGATGAATACTGTTCTATGATTGAGTGTGATATGATTAGGCGGTCTCTATCATTACAGTTGTGGCCGTCGTCTTGGTCGTTTTCCTCTTCCTCGGGCAGCCCGGCTGTCTTGAGCACCTCCCTCACTGCTGTCAACAATATCTCCTGCATCACAACCAATAATTATCACAAGCAAGTACGTGGTTGTACTCATCGCATTGCCAGAATTTCGTCTTTTAGGTCACCATTCTCAGCTTAGTTGCGTTTGAACTACGTCTCTAAGTCAATGGGGCTGTAGGTTTACAATTCAAAAAACCTGGCTCGTCTCATATTTGAAGAAACACAGGCAAACACGCCCGGACAGCCTGCCACATCGCAAGCATCAAGAGGCTCGTATGGAGTTGAAAGTCGGTCAGTCAGACAACTTGGTTGTTGGCTGTGGGGGAGTCTTTCATGGGATCCACTAGACTTTGACAACTCCATCTGAGCCATCAACAACCCCGAGAAACTCCCGGTGACGTATGCAGCGACATGAATCGCTTGCTGAGCCTAGAGCACACTAGCAACGCATTTACCGGGCTGTATCTTTCTTGGAAAACTGCCAGTTGACCGCTCACTGGTTTATGACCGATTATTACTTACCCCGAATCGTACCTGTACTATTTCTGGCCCATTCGAACCGGCAAAGTTAAGATTCGAGGCCAAGTGCGTTCCATGTTGCTCAGTTATGGAAGGGAAACCGCAAACAAAACTCGGTCGATTCACTAAAACAAAAAAATCACTTGCCGATATATCAAATTCAAAAATATCGCACGATGC